GGCAAGCTGTCATAGAGAGAGAGAATTAAAGAAATATTATCCGGTATTCGCGCATTCTTAGGAGTTTTATCTATCCCCCCCTCCGCCAAGTTAGGAAGGACGCCTACAGTTTGTAGGAGACGACCTTTACAACAGGGGAAATTTGAGGGATATGGTTCACAAGAGTATCTTAAGCGCTCAAAAAAAACAAATTACTTTTAAAATATGTAAAAATATTGCCATACATAACATAACAGTTTTTGTGAAATACTTAAATAAGAAAATGTAAAAAAGTGCAAATTTAAGTTTTTAATAAAAACTGTAAGTTATGTGATTAAAGCGGAGTGGATACAACACGCTAAAGAACAAAATGTCCAATAACAAAACACCCAAGATTTCAAAATCTCCAAAGTTACGAAACGTCCAAAGTTACAAAATGTCCATAGTTACAATATGTTCAAAGTTACAATATGTTCAAAGTTACAAAATGTCCAAAGTTACAATATGTTCAAAGTTACAAAATGTCCAAAGTTACAATATGTTCAAAGTTACAGAATGTCCAAAGTTACAAAATGTCCAAAGTTACAATATGTTCAAAGTTACAGAATGTCCAAAGTTACAAAATGTCCAAAGTTACAATTTGTTCAAAGTTACAAAATGTCCAAAGTTACAATATGTTCAAAGTTACAGAATGTCCAAAATTACAAAATTTTCTTAAAATGTCAAAGTAATACAATGTTTAATTACTACTTAAAAACTAGCATTTTGAACAAAAAAGATTAAAAATCCCTACTTACTAAGATACTAACATGCAAGGTACTTAGTATGCAAGTTACTAAGATACTAAGATACAAAATGTTATATACTACATTTATTAATCAATGCAAGATATTTTTAGACAATGTAAGACATTGTCAATTTTTGACATTTTGACATTTTGTAATTTTTGACATTTTGTAACTTTGGAAATTTTGTAACGTTGGACATATTGTAACTTTGGACATTTTTTATCCCTGGACTTTGTGTAACTTAGTAGTTAGTTCGTTAGTAAGTAAGGATTTTTAACCCTCATAGATACAGACAGCGTTGAAAAGTTGCATCAATGTTCAAGACCTTGTCAATAATGTTATAGACCAAGTCAAATGAACATAAAAGAACCAAAAAGTTGTAACTTTGGATGTTTTATAACCTTGGAAATTTTGTAATTTTAGACATTTTGGACATTTTGTAATTTTGGACATTTGGTAAATTTGGGCTTTTTGTTATCTTGGGTGTTTTGTTTTTGAACGATTTGTAAAATTAAGCGTTTTGTTTTTGTGTGATGTGTAATTTTTTGTCTTTTGTTAATGGACTTTTTGTTATTGGGCATTTAGTTTTTGGGCGTTTTGTATCCACTCCATTAAAGCTGCAATAAGTTTGCACAAGTTTAACAATTTGTGAAATTTAGAAAAACAAAAAAGAAGCTAAATTAAAGTTGACTTTTAAAAACAAATTGTATATGTATTTTAAAAAACTTTTTGATCATGTTTAGATTTTTTGAAAAAGGCTTTTGATGGATGTAGAAGCCAAATATTTGATATTGGAGATAAGAATGCTGAATGTGGAATATGAGTTGAGGAGGCTCGGACACGTAGCGTGAGGCACGGGGATAATTTTGATCGGTTAGGAGGCCATTTTGATAATCAGGAGGCTCTGGATGTCAGTTCACGGGGCTCATGAATGCTCTGCACCCCCTCTCTCATTGTAGGTTTCCAAATTTAGATTTACTTGAAATAACTACACGGTCCCTTTAAGAATGCATTAATAAACTAATTGATGACATCTAGTCAATCTGATTGTTTATTTGTGTTAAAGAAATGCATCATAACGTCTAAATCAATTGAAGTCATATACATGAGTGCAAAGAGAAGTTTTCGTATTTCATATTTTCGGAAATAATCCTCTTTAACAATTTATTATTTCTAAATTGTTGATAAATAGTTTAAATTAAATTGAATTTATCTTGCATTTGGATAGATTTAAAAAGCGATTATTTCTTAATAAAGGAGCGGAGGAGTATTTAAGTACAACATGCGGGTGGTTTCAGGATTTCAGATGGGGGGGGGGGAGGCGAACAAATATATTCGCGCGAAATACAAAAATAATTTCCCCCCCCCCCCCTATATTGTACCCCACAAACCCTACTAAAAGTACAGGGTAGGCAAATGTCATAATAATTTCCATTTATTTATCTAAAATATTATTCACATTGAACTTTATTCATTAACATTAAACATATCATATCATATTATTCTAGTGAAGGGAGAATCATTTTTCAATTTTCTGCTATTACTATTGATATTTTAGTAAATTATGCTAATTTTTCTTGCAGGAGACTCCAAGTAGTTTCTATGTTTATTTTTAGAGTTAAAAATAAAGTCTATCGGAAGAAGGCTGAATGTAAATAAAGGAATTTTTGTTCATAATTAAATTAATAAAATCTACGATAATTTAGTTTTCTTGGGCCGCTTGAAATAAAGGCATTTAAAACACTGTTGTCCGAAATTGAGGCAAGCATCTTTGGGTGAATCGTCATCCGTAGTAGGTCGGATGTGTAGTATAGCGGATTTGGCGTAGGTCAGAAGTGGAGTATGGCGGATATGTGTAGGTCGAAAAATACACCACCACGAAAACATGTAATCCAGTATTCACTGTGCTCTGTGAACTCTTTATTTAATATTAATGTCTGCCCATATCTGTCAGAAGTTATCTTGTTAAATTCTTTTAATTACTTATTAAGGTTCATTACATTTACAGGAGTTCAATACTCTCCGCTTCAGGTTTCCTTTATAAAGAAGACACGGAGTCATCATTCTTCAGTTCATCTCAACCTTTTCTTTAAGAGACTTGGGACTTGGGAATACAAACCTTTTAGGGATACAATTCTATATTCTAAACAATATCTAAGATTCTTTTATCATTTAAAAAAATTTGATCTGATTCTGATTTTGATTTTGGTCAAATACTTTTCTTCATAAAGCTTTAACATACAAAAATAAAAATAATTTAAAATATAAAGGATTTGGATTCATAGATCTGAATCAAGGAAGAAGAATGAATCAGAAGAATATCTATCTTCTACTCTCCGTCATGGCAGCAGCAATACAAGCTCACCCATCTGAGATCTTCAAGAGGCATTCAATGCCATCTTCCAGTCATATTAACAATCCAATATAACACCTAGCAATTAACAACAAAAAGTGAGTGTTAGTCTTGATATTTTTAAAATGTGGTCTGTCATTTTTGTACTTTCAAGATGATTCAATGTTTCAAAAATATTTGATAGTCCCATCAGTTTTTAAAATTAACAATGGAAGACCACTCTTGGAATCCTTGGAATGCTCATACGGCATATTAGATACAAATTTGACATTTATGAAAAATTCAGTATAGAAGATCTAATTTATCTTATCATAGCTTCCATGTTTCTTGTTTTAAGTATCTCATCTGTTCTTTTCATGTTGAACCATTTGGAGAAGGGTAATTTCAAGTGCCCTTCAGTTTAAAAGTGACATGTCCGATTCACAACAGGAGTCATAAAACCTTAATCTTTGTAAAGAAATCATAAGTTAAACCTTAAAGTGTGTACTGTGTATAAAATCCAATAATATCCTCCATTTTGTTTCTTCAGCAGAACTCCGCAAGTCACTTTTACAAAAAAAAACCTCAATGGAAAATTATCAATTTTTAGTAAGAAAAAAAATAACTTCTTATGGATTTCGCGATCAAACTAAGATTTTAAGATTATTCTTTAAAATGGAGATTCACTAAGAATTGCGTTAAAAATAAAACCAAAGGTATTGAAATTGTGCGTTGTAATCAAACGGGAGAAAATGAAAATTTAATAGGACATTTTCAAAAACATGTTTAAATCTCGTTAACGATTGAAAGGTTGAAACATTGCAATTTCATTTTTTTAAATCTTTATAATTGCTTAAGATAACCCATAGCAGAAAAGACTTAAATGAAAACCTGAAATAATTAAAAACAACCATCTCCAATAAAAACTTGATCTTCTGCGCTATTTGTAAATTTTTAATTCATATTAAATGTTGCTAAGGATTAGAAAACTCTTATAAATTGTCTTAAAAAGTCTCATTCTTTGAGGGAATCCAAGTACTATTTACTTTACATGTCTCTTGCTTCTACTCATGAGGACTTTCAACTTAAATAAAAACATTAGAAAAATCTTAGCAAATTATTTAATAAAAAAGTGTTTAACGGAAGAAGTATGTATATGTATTTCAGAATGAATAATATCAGTCAAGATCAGTAATTGTTTGTACATTGGTTTAGTTACAGTGTAACTAGTTACAGTATGAACAGATCAGAAATAATACTTTTGAGGAAAAATTATTTTGTCAAGTTATTAGGAATCCGACTCTGAATCTGTATCTGATTCAATAAAACAGATTTCTCGATAGTCAATTACTTTTCTAAGTCCAGGTTCAATCTTGACAACAAAATGTACTGCTGCTTCAGCTGGTGTTGCCTCCAATTCGGCAGCTTTCTCCTTCCCCTCCTCTTCCTCCTCCTTCTCCTTGTTCTTCTCCTGTCCCTCTTTACCTTTGGTTATTGGTTCAACATTCTCCGCCTCTGATCCATCTTCATTAGTCCGAGATTCTACTTCGTCTTTGTTAATTCCTAATTTACTATATTTTAATCCGTTTTCAATTTTTTTCATTCCTTCATCATCAGAAGTCAACTTATCTTTGTCAGTTGGCAATTTTAAATCATCAATCTTTAATCCAACTTCATCAGTCTTCACACTTTCGTCTTCAAGTGATTCAGCTTCATAGATTTCATCAGTTACAAGTCCCACATCTTTATCAACAGTACTATTGCCATGATCCATGACAGCTTTTAATATTGATTCTTGACTTCTCTGTGGAAGACTGGGTAAATCAATACCTGACTGAGAGACCAGATGATTGCTTAATGTCCCTTTCCTCTTGTTGTCATGTTGTTCGACTGTATCAGTAACTTTAGATTTGTTTTTTTCTGACTCAGAATTATTACCCTTTTTACTCTTGTTTACATCATCTCTAACCTCTTCATTACTTGGAACATTCTCTTCGTCAGTTAAAGCATTCTCTTCATCAGTTGCAGCATTTTCTTCATCAGTTGCAGTATTCTCTTCCTGGGTTCCAGTATTCTCTTCATCAGTTGCAGAATTCTCTTCATCAGTTGCAGAACTCTCTTCATCAGATGCAACATTCTCTTCATCAGTTTCAGCATTCTCTTCATCAGTTCCAGCATTCTCTTTATCAGTGGGAGCATTATCTTCATCAGTGGGAGCATTCTCTTCATCAGTTGGAGCATTATCTTCGTCAGTTGCAGAATTCTCATCATCAGTTGCAGCATTCTCTTCATCAGTTGCAGAGTTCTCTACATAACTTGGAGCATTCTCTTTAATCATTGCAGCATTATCTTCATCAGTTGCAGAGTTCTCCTCATTAGCTGGAACATCTTCATTAGTTCCAGCATTATCTTCATCAATTGTAGGGTTCTTCTCATTAGCTTGAACATTATCTTCATTAGTTGCAGCATTCTCTTCATCAGTTTCAGAGTTCTCCTCATTAGCTGGAACATCTTCATTAGTTCCAGCATTATCTTCATCAATTGTAGGGTTCTTCTCATTAGCTTGAACATTATCTTCATTAGTTGCAGCATTCTCTTTATCAGTTGCAGCATTCTCTTTATCCATTGTTACATTCTTTTCAACATTCTTATCTTGTTCATGTGCTGCTTCAACACAATCTTCATCATTAGTATCATCCTTTGATTTTACTACATTAGCATTTTTCACATAGTCATGGCAAGAATACGCATTGAGTGCTTCTTCTTCCCTTGCATGCTTTTCTTTCAAAACCTCCTTAATTGTATATGCTTTACATATAGCTACATTATCTGCATTAGCTAAATCTGTGCAGACTACATTTGCTCCTACCGAGTTTGCCTCTGAATTCCTGCTCTCTAAATAAACACAAGTTCCTTTTCCATCCATGTCTGCTTGATCATTGGCATATGCACTCTTATCATCTGAATCCAAGTCAGTTTCATCCTCAATCTGTATACCTAAATCACTTGCATCTATTTCTATATCTATTCCTTCATCTATATCTATTTCTTCTGAATCTGAGTCTTCTTCATCAAAGGAGTCATCAACATCAAGAACGACGTCACCATTGCAGTTGCCTGCGTCATCTTCATCTGAATCTTCAGGTGGAACATCCAACATGTTAATGTCATTATTTGTGTCATCATCAGATTCTTCATTTCTTATTTTTTTAACAGTTTCTCGTTCTAAACCTGAAAACGTTCCAGAATGATTTTCACTAAGGTTATCAGAGTCTCTGGAAGCTTTATCTTCTTCATCAAGACGATCATCAATTTGTGGTACAATCTCCTCCTCACTTTCTTCCCCAATATCCATGTAGACCTCAAAGGTTTCTCCTTCTAAAGTAGGGCCTTCATCTGATGGAGTAGAGTCAATGAGGTTGTAAACTTTTTTTTCGTCTGCACTTTTAATGCTAGTTTCAGGTTGGTGCATTTTTGAATTGTTATCTTTCTTTTCTTTGTAATATAAGGGCAAGTGATATTTTTTCTTCAGATAATTCTCAACAATTCTGTGCTTCGTGCCAAGATGGATAACCTGATGCCATTTAGAAGAAAATTTAAGATCACAAATGCTACAGTTTTCAAGGATCCCAAACTTCTTGATGATAGAATTTTTGAAGTGTTTCAGAGCATAGTGTTGATAAAGCATTGAGGCAGTTTTAGCCACAAATTCACACTTAGAGCACTGTAGAGGATTAAAGGGAAGACCTTTCTTGTGATGACTTTTTGACTGAGGTATATGATACTGTTTTGGTAAAAACTGTTCCACCAAATCATGAGTTGCACCAAGATGTTGAATCATTTTGTAGCGTGTTGATTGAGAAAGGCCACATATATGACATGGAAGATCCAGGTTATAAGCTTGCTTGAATTTATTTTTGTAATGCTTGAAACTGTAGTGCTTGTATATGTTATGTCGTTTAATGGTTTCAAAATCACAAATATAGCATTTATGAGGGGATGGAGGATTGTTTCTCCTTTTTGGAATAATATGACTCATTTTCAAAAACAAGTCCACTGCATTGTGTTTACTTGTTAGGTGCTCTAGTTTGGCGCTCTCATTAATGAACATTGTTCCACATTCTGAACATGAATCTTCACCAGGGAATTGAGCTAAGATTTTATCCTTCAGATGCTTTCTAGCATAATGTGAGTACATTCTTTTTCTAAGTGGACTTGAGTATTCACAACCAAAACATGAGTAAACAGAAAGATCATTTTCTTTCTCCTTTGGCACATTTTCATTTTCTGTGCAAAGCATGTCACTCCTAAGCTTAAAACGCTGTTTTGGTATGATATGGGTTTTCTTCAGAAACAGGTCAACCACACTGTGGGTACTTGATAAATGATTTAGCTTAGCACTTTCACTGATAAAGATTTTGCTACATATTGAACATGAACTCTCTTCAGGGTATAGAGCAAGAATTTTTTCTTTAAAATGCTTCCTAGCATAATGGGAGTACATGTTTTTCCTCTTTGAATGTGAGAACGTACAACTGAAGCATGAATAAACTGTTTGATCATTTTCTTTCTCCTTCTGCACATTTTCATTTTCTGGGCAACCCATGTTACTTTTCATTTTATAACAACGTTTTGGTATGATATGACTCCTCTTCAAGAATTGGTTAACCACACTGTGCGTACTTGCTAAATGAACCAGTTTGGCACCAACACTAAGCAAGATCTTGCCACATATTGCACAAGAGTCCTCTTCAGGGTATAAAGCAAGGATTTTATCTTTAAAATGCTTTCTGGCATAATGTGTATACATTTTTTCTCTCAATGAATTTTTGTATTCGCAACTAAAACATGAATAAACAGATTCCTCACTTGCATTCTCCTCTTGCAAAATTGTATCCTCTACTAGATACTCCATATTACTCTTGTGCGCCGACTGTTTTGGTATAATGTGGGTTGTTTTCAAGAACTTCTCCACCACACTGTGCACACATGCTAAATGATTTAGTTTGACCCTCTCATTAACCAGCATCTTTCCACATATTGAACAGGAATCTTTATCAGGGTATTCAGCTAGGATTTCATCCTTAAAATGCATCAAAGCATAATGTGTGTACATTCTGCTGCGTAAAGAAGATGAGTAATCACAAGCAAAACATGTATAAACAGAATTCATGCCAGTCTCCTCATTTTCGTCTTTTGTGGATAGGAGATTAGTTTTGGTTGAATTAGAAGAAAAAGAATGATTACTCTCAGCATAATCAATGTCTTCACCTTTTTCACTACCATTCTCTTTAACCTTATTACCATTAGATAATTTTTTAGGGATGGTAAACTCCTTCTCTAAGAAGAGATCTACTGCACTATGTGTACTACCAAGATGGCCTAACTTGTCATGCTCATTGCTGAAGCTCTTGTTGCATAGTGAACAGAAATCTTCCTCAGGGTATTTAGCATGGATTTCCTGCTTGAAGTGAACAATAGCATAGTGATTATAGATTCTGTGTCGTTCATGAGCTGAATATTCACATTTTGAACAATTATGCATTAATTTTGGCTCGCCTTGAAAGTATTTTTGAATTCTATACTCCTCTTTTAGAAAAAGTTCAACCACACTGTGCGTGCAGGCGAGATGAACAAATTTCGATTGTTCGTTCTTGTATACCATGCTGCAGAGTGGGCATAAGTCTTTTTCAGGATATATTTCCATTATTTCTTCTCTAAAATGATTTGTTGCATAATGGGTGTACATTCTACTTCTGATAGGAGACTTGTAACTGCAAATGTAACAATCATGAACAACAGGGCCTTCATTTTCGACTTCAACTTCAATTTCAACTTCTTTTCTGTGATCGTCATTTAGATACTTTTCAATGTAGTTATGAGCATTTAGCAAATGGCTCACTTTGCCAAGGGGGGAAGGACAAACTTGTTCACAATCCGGACATGTATCTGATTCACCAAATTCATCAATGAACTTCTGCCTGAAGTGACTAAAAGCATAATGTCTAAGAAGAAGTTTATGACAGGTTGTTGTGAATTCGCAGCAAAGAGAACATTTGTAAGAAGCATCATTTGAATCATTAAGGTCAGCATTGCTTAACTTCTTAATGCAAAGCGTGGGAGTTAAGTTCTCAATAGTTTCAACATTTTCAGTCTCAAAGGAAATATTTACTGTTGGGTTAGTTTGTTTTGCAAGCTCTTCTGCTACGGCGTTCTTGACATGATGCTGAATCGGCAAACAGTTTTCAATATATCCACAGGTGACTCCAATGTGCAGAACCTTTTCTGTAATATCAGAACTTAGTTGCGTGCAACAGACTGGACATGTTGAATCAATGTCAGAGGATTTAATTAACTGTTCCTTAAAGTGCACCAAACTGTAGTGCATGTACAGATCCTTTTTATTTGAGCTGGTGAAGGTACAGAGATAACAGGAGACATGATCTTCAGGGGGGGATGTTGTTTTTTCCTGCATTTTTTTCGCATGATGTACTGGATCTAGAAACTGCTCAACATGATTGTGAACAGAACCCATGTGGGTCAAAATAGAATCTGTTGATTTTAATCTATTATTGCAAAAGGGACAATTGGGTAAACCTCTAAACCTTTCCAGAAGTTTGTCTCTGAAATGGACATGAGCGTAGTGAGTGTAGAGCTTAGATTTGAACTGTAGAGTTTGAGAGCACATTGAGCAAGGGAATAGATTTGTACTACTCTGTTTTACTATCTTCATGCTTTCGGGAGATGGAGTGGGGGGAGCGTTCTTAAGTATATCTTCACTGCATCTAAACTCATCCATAGTTTTGAGGATTGGTCGGGTTCCGAGATGCTTATACGTTGAGAGATACTTCAGAGACCCTTGGTGGGATAAACCTAAAATAGTTAAGTAGAATTGTTTGATAGTTACCGAATTAAGAAAACTTATCTTCTTACCTAGATGTAAGATGAGATCCGAGTTAGAACTGAAAGAATGTGAACATATGAAGCACTCAAGTGACTTTTCAGAGATTTGAAAATCCTTAAGTTGACGTAAGTTTTAAAAATGGATTATTTTAATGATCCTTTAAAAGTATCATAAGTATAAAAAAAGAATTTTTTGAATTCCATTTGGCCGTAATTGATAGTACTCATTATTTTAAATCATGATATTTAAAACTGTTCCTTAATGAGTGATTTCTTATGATGTTTATTGCAGAGGTGTTTGAGGAGCTTAATCTTGGTTTTGAAACTCCTGGGACAGGAAGATTCTGAACAAGGGTAGATCTGATCTGTTCTCCCGGTTCCCTGGCAGCCACTACAGGTGTACTTGAACTTAGGATCATTCTTCTCTGGTACTTTCTCAATATCTACACAATCTAAACAAAATCAAATATAGACTTAAGATCAATAATGTCGCAATGAAGGCACGTTTAATATATCAAAAATTGACAACATCTAGTTGTAAAGATAAAGGGATTAGTTTGTGGCATAACCTCAATTCTTTTTATTCAATTCTTCAACAAAATTTTTGATTTCATTAATTACACAAATGCTCGAATGTTTTTTAAGGGGGGGGGGATCTTTTTTAGAAAATAAATTTTCTAACAAATCAAATATTTTCTGAAACAATTAAATTTCTTTTAAAGTACATTTCAGATTTTATGACTTATTAAGATTCCAACTATTTGGATGACAACAATACAGAGTTTTAGATCTTATAATTAATATAGATAATTACCACAATGCAGCCACTGTTTACATTTGACACACATCACCATCTGCCCGTAAGTATAATCCAGTAGGCATTTAGGGCAATTATTCTAAAAATACACATGATGAGGAGTTTACTTCATATAAAATGCATAGCTGTTGCCTCAGGACATGATGCAGTAATGAGACAAAGACAGTCCTACCGCTTAGTTGTGATTTAATGCATTCCGAAATTTATTTTTTGACGTTAAATGCGGCTGGAAGGCCGTTTTGGTGCAACTGCCTCCCCACCCTCACTCAATAGACCTTCCAAATAATTTGAAAAAGAATGAATGGGCTACCTTATCTATAGTAACGTTGTCTTGTTGAGACGGACTGGATCCAGTATTTTCCAATCCTTGATCCCTAGGGATCTTCATTTTAAACGGAGGTACTCTTTTCTCATCCTGATCCTCATCCACTCTTCTCCTTTTCGGAGAACTATATTCCTCTTCTTGGATCTTTCGCTTTTCTGGAGATTGAGGATTTGGTTCAGCCGTGTTCTGCTTTCTAGATTCTCGGCATTTTTGCAAATGCATTGGGAATAACCTTGCATCTAAATAAATAATCTAAATAAATGACACATAAACTTTTAAATTGAAAAATGTGAAGACCATATCACACCAACAAAATCATTTGTTTCAATTCCAATTGGTCCAATCTTCAAATCAAATTAAAAAAGTTTTTATTTATATCTAACTGAATATTTAACAGTTGCTGGAATCGAAAATGCAAGTTTAAAGCATAAATCAACTTTTAAGTTGTGGAACTAACATCTACTTTTTTACTCTACAGAGGTTTGGTCCATCACCATCACTGAATTTTAAATTTGGCTTGTCTGTTTAGACAAAAACAGCTGGAAGCATTGCATATCAAGTACTTCATCAATAAAGGTTAATGATACATTTTATCTTACATGACACTATTTAATTAACAAGTTTCGCAAATCTATTATTAAGGAACATAAGGAAATGGAATCTCTAAGAGACCCCAGAATAGAGTAAATATCTAATTAAGATTACCTAAACTCTTTTTCACACAATGGACAGGACTTTAGCTCTAAAGTTGCTGCTGGTGTGAGATTCTTGTGATACACTAAATATACAAATATAAAAATATTTTTTTATTCTACTCATGAACTTATTAGGGTACCCCCCTTTCTAGGCATTTATACTTTCTATGAATTTCTATGAATTTTCTATGAAATTTCTAAGAAATTTCTTTGAAACTTCTATGAATTTTCTATGAATTTTCTATGAATTTTCTATGATTTTTTTTTGAATTTTCTATGAATTTTCTATGAATTTTCTATGAATTTTTTATGAATTTTCTATGAATTTTCGATGAATTTGCTATGAATTTATTATCAAATAGTTAAAGTGAAGCAAATATTTCTGTAGGTTTAGCCGTTTTGACGTGCAATAGAAAAAGGGGTCTATCTGATAGCCTTTTTTTCGTACATTCAAAAACAATAAAAATAAAAATATTGTCACTGATTTCCTAATGTCTAATGGACCGACGGAATTAGCGGACTTCCATAATTTTTGGGCCAGGTCGGTTTTGCCGTTTTGACGTTTATTAGAAATAATAACATAAACAATAAATATATAAGAGGAATATAAAAAACTAACCTTTATATTTTTTATTATGTTTTATCAGAAGAGATTTCTTCCAGAAATATGTCTGGCAAAGCAAACAACTAAATTTTTTTCGATCTAGCAGTTTCCGCGTAGAGCGATCAGTAGATGTTCTCGAGGGAACAGCTGACGGATCAACTTCGGAAACAGGTTCTTCTAGTACATAAACAGGCCCAGAAACCGGTTCCTTCAGTTCATGGTCAGGTTTAGGAACCCAGTTAATTAGCAGTTTTTGGATTGAATCCAGTAGTAAATCCTATTTGAAAATCAGACAATTTAATGTCAAATTCTATAAAATCTTTATGATATTTATAAAAAATAAAACCAGATCTTTCTAGACACATTTTGCTTGACTAAACTTATATAGTTTGAACCCAAAAAGCGGTGATTTTTTTTTATTTTTCATTATGAACAAAATATGGAATAAAAACAAAAGTAGACGACTTAATATTTAAGGCTATAAATGAAAGATTGTAACTCAAAAGATCCAAAAATCAGATCAAAATTAAAAAAATTTCTTCGTTAAAAAAAAGTCAGATTCCTTAAAAGCTTCTACGATATATAGCTCCTTCATTAGTTGTTGAACCTCCTCTAGAACCTCACGCCGATCAGACTCAGGGTCCTCGGCGGCAAATATAGCAGACAAAATACTTGATATTGCCGCCATAATTCGTTCATCAGATATTAATAACTCATTCTAAAATTATAAATTTTTTTATTTCAAAACAGGATATTAGTATATTATGCATAGGAAGAAAGTGTAATAATCAAAATCATTGTTATAATATTGAAAGAAAAACCGTGGAATAATTTTGATTATTCACCAGGATTATTTTTTGTTATTAATGAGAGTGATAAGGAAAATGCAGCGGGGTTTAGAATGTAGATTGATTCATTGCCAAATAAGTAATAAATCGGCACAAATTTTTCTTAAACGGACTGTAACTGCATTGTCAAGTGATTGTTGGAATAAACCACTTGAAACCCAAGAAATTAAACGACAATAAACTATTAATACAGGTTTCAATAGTACCGTTGTGAATCAGGCATTAAAATCAGTGCTTAGGATCCATTTAATTTTGATGCGGATCCGGATCCTGGATCCGTATTGGGAGAAAATGGATCCAGATCCAGATTATTTCTTTAAAGTTTACTGAATTTTTTTTTAACAAAGCAGGAGTTTTCAATTTTTTTGTCTTATTTTTTACGCTTTTTGTAATTATGCTAAAACTTGATGAACCATTTAGAAATCAAGAAATTTAAAAATATCTCTTTTTTAATAGTTCAGATTAGGGTTAAGAGAATTTTTTTTCTCTCGCTTTTTGTAATTAAATTATGCTAAAACTTTATGGGTTCATCAGAAATCAAGAAAGAACCCGTAACAAGTGAGACATTTTGTAATGTCTCTGTAAATATTAATAGCAGCAGGTTCTATTTTTGAATGTAAAGTCATATAACGAGGCCGGAGATAAAAAATCGGAGCCAACGGAGGTCACTTTTCAGAGGTTACAAGACTCCGGAAAAATATTTCGACAATCTGACTTCATATCCTGCTCCTAGGCATTTATATGAGTCTACATTCAAAAATAGAACCAGCTGCTATTAATATTTACAGAGATATTACAAAATGTCTTACTTGTTACAGGTTCTTTATATAATCTCTCTTTTTGTAATAGTTCAGATTAGGGGTGTAAGAGACAATTTTTTTTCTTCTTCCGTTTTTGGTTGATATTTTGCCCCTTGGATCCGGATCCATGGATCCGAATATTTTTGCGGATCCGAATCCAGGAAGCCAAAATCTTGCGGATCCCACGGATCCGGATTCTAAGCACTGATTTCAATATTTGCATGTAGTGATTGAAATTACGCTTATAATCCCTTTAAACTTAAAATAAATCAAATAAATACTTCAATCTGAATCTGATAAGCTTGATGGCACAATATTGGCCCATTTCTGGTCCACTATTAGCTTTTTTCTCTTTTTTTTTTATCAATTTTTCTTCACAGAAACTGATTTACCCCTTTTTTCGTTAACACTTCCTTTTAAAAAGGTAAATAATTAAACCTGAAGAGAAAATACGAAGAGATTAAGTATCCTTGATGAAACCCAGGGTAGAATTATCACATTTCTACAAATATAATTCATTAAAAAAATGAAAAATTGTTTATTTTCTCTCTTAATAAAAAAAATTATGTTCTGATCGTTTTTATTTTTCATTTTCAACTTTTTAAAGTAAATTTGATTTCAGTTTGTCTGCAGATCTAATGTTATGTCTGTTCTCGAACAATTTTCTTTCTCGCAAGAACATTTGTTATGTCTACATGCAGTATAGACAGGGGCGGATACAGGGGGGGGGCGGCAGGACCATCGCACCCCCCTGACGGATTTTAAAAAAAATCTTGTCCCTAAATCTGGATTTTTTCTGATCTGAAATAATTCTAGCCCCCCCCCCCTCACTATAAATCCTGTATCCGCCCCTGAGTATACATACATCTTTGCAATTTATATTAAATCTGACCTATTCAGCTAAGAATAATTTTTAAAGCTAGGCATGATTCAATTCTTAATAAACACAAGCTTTTTAAAATGAATTTCCTTTGATCGCAGCCAGAACAAAATCCTTGTTTCCTAATCAACCACTTCACTAACGGACTGAAAAAAAATAGAAAAAATTAAATAAAAAGAACAAAAAAACAAGAATTTAAAGGGCATACAAATTAGTTTCAAGTCAACCTCCATTTAAAGAGTCGCATGCTCAGGGGCGGATACGGCTACGCCCCCCCCCCTGAATCCGTCAGGGGGGTGTGAAGGTCCTGCACCCCCTTTTATCCGCTCCTGCGCATGCTAGTTTTACAACTTTAAACCCTTATCTGACGAACAGTTGTTTACTATTATAGAAACCACAGCTGAAAATTGAAAAATGTTCAATAGAAAAATGTGAATATATCATCAACATGGCTTTTAATTGAACATGCAGCTCTTAAACTGAAGAGTCACTAGAAATAATAACGATTTAAAATCATGTTTGATTTTAGCTGAAAACTTTAGAATGGGATATCCTTAATCCCGATCAGTAAATTAATCTGGAGATTAATAACAAGAGGAGAACAAGCAATATGTAATCTCGAGATTAAGAAAAAGAGTGGATCAAGCATTAATCCCGATATCCCAGCTCTGAAGTAATAATACAAATAAACCTATTAACTAAAAATGTGGGACGTAACTAAAAGTATGGTGCTAATTCATAATTGACGTTTTTAAATATAGATTGGTAAAATTAGTTTAATGATTGTAAAACACGCTTGCATACCAAAAAATAATAGTTTAAGCAAAAGGAATTAAATACAGGGTTACCCACAAATAGTATAGTAATTCACCCAAATATTGAGTATTTGCCAGCTGACGTAATGGGGGGGGGG